TTCCTCTATATATTTGATTAAAGATTTTGATTCAAAGCTTTGATTGAAAGTTTCATTGAAGTCTGCTTAACTCAACTGATAGGACAAGCTTTATTAGAAAATAAATTCTTTTTTTTTTTTTTACAAATAGTTTATTGTCAAATTAATTTCCACATAACAGCCAGTGCTTATCCCCACAAGTGTCCTCCTCCATGCCCCTCCCCCCTCCCCCCCCACATCCATCAGTCCTCAGTTTTTGTCAGCATTCAAGAGTCTCTCATGGTTTGCCTCTCTCCCTTTCCCCCACCATTTCCGCCCTTCTTCTCCCCCTTGTTCCTCCGTCAAGTTCCTCCTAATCCTCCTATACGTGCAAACATATGATATTTGTCCTTCTCTGCCTGACTTATTTCGCTCAGCATAACACCCTCAAGGTCCATCCATGTTGCTACACATGGCCAGATTTCATTGTTTCTCATTGCCATGTAGTATTCCATGGTATAGATAAACCACATCTTCTTGATCCATTCGTCCTTTGATGGACACGTAGGGTCTTTCCATGTTTTAGCTATTGTGGAGAGTGCTGCTATGAACATTGGGGTACATGTGCTCCTATGCATCAGCATTAGAAAATACATTCTAGAGGCACCTGGGTGGCTCAGTTGGTTAAGTGTCCTACTTCAGCTCTGGTTATGGTATCACGGTTGGTGGGTTCGGGACTGCCTCAGACTGTGCTTATAGCTAGCTCAGAGCCTGGAACCTGTCTTTGGATTCTCTCTCTGTTCCTCCCCTGCTCACGCTCTCTCTCTCTCTCTCTCTCTCTCCCTCTCAAAAATAAATAAAAACATAAAAAAATTTAAAAAAAGAAAATAAATTCTAGTGATTTTCAAAAAAGTTTTTTTGTGTTTATTTAGCTTTGAGAGAAAGAAAGAGCGTGAGGGAGGGAGGGGCAGAGAGAAAGAGAGACACAGAGCTGAAGTAGGCTCCAAGCTCTGAGCTGTCTGTACAGAGCCTGATATGGGCTGGAACCCATGATCTGTGATATTAAGACCTGAGCTTAACTGACTCAGCCACCCAGGTGCCCCAAATTCTACTGATTTTTTAAATAATTATATATTTGGGATTTTAAAATAAAATTTTAGACTGGAGTATACTCAGATAGGTAGGAAATAACAGCCAAAACAACTTACCCAAAAAATGTAATGAAAGCTTATTTTAGCCAAAGCATAGTGATCTTTCTTATATTATGCTGTGAACATTGTATTTATATGTTTGTCCCTAGAAGCAGAAATGAAAGAAATGAAAATTGAAATGAAAGAACATTTATTTTATAACTTGAAAGGAGTAGTTGTGGTTTAATTACCCACAGTGTTAAGTCTAGTGCGCGGATTTCCGTCATACGGTTGGTTCTTGCTGTCAAGATCTGTTGTAGACTGCTGTGGGCTCATCCTACAAGTGACAGTTTGCCTGAGAAGTACAAGACTAAGATTCCAGTCTGTCTTTGTGGTTCTGCCCTTGTCACCCTTTTGAGTTTTGAGTTGAGAGCCTGAGAGTCTCATTTCTTCCTTTAGGTTCTACCCTCTATTCTAAAGTTTTCAGCTTTCCTCTTTAGCTTTCTACCCATCCAAGTTCAAAATTTGTCAAATACCTTGAAGAAGAGGCTTGTATTTGGGCATGAGGAATTTTACAGGGCTTCAACTTGCTTGACAGAATTGAATAAAGTCACAAAATGTGTGAAATGGTTTTTCTGAAACAAATGGGATCACCTGCTTTCCTTTGAAGCTGGTTGAAACTGTGGTTTGTTGTTGTTGTTTTAATTGCCTGGGGCATTGTCTGCTTGTGATTTTCAACAACTTAACTACTTTCATTTTTGTTATTGTTGTTTGTTTGGGCCTTAACAGACTAACAGCCTTCCCTTTAAATATCCAGTTAACATCTCTCCAGGCAAGGAAGGTATCACTGAGGGTTACAAACAGTTTTACACCTAATAGGAATAATAATGCTAATGACAGCAATGATGGCAATATAAGAAAGTTCTAGTGCTTGTTATGTATCAGATATCATTCTAAGAATTTTACATACATCAACTATTTTAATTCTGTGATTATGTTATTTTTAGGTAGGGCCTGGGTTTCCTAGATGAAGACGGACTTTAGATTTACCTTCAATTTGCATTGCGGCATAGCTTTTATTTTATTAGACATTTTATGACATTCTCAGTTTCTACTTAACTCTTGTTGCCTCTGTGAGCTGAACATAGCTTCTAGCACTGCCAGCCCCTCACTAGAATGGAATTTTTAATGCTCTCTGTTTCTTTGAATAATTGGCTGCCAGTTCAAAGTTTGTCATTTAAACCTATGACCTAGATTCATGTCCTAGCTAAAAAATTAGGCCAGGAAGATGCGAATCAGGCATTTTTAGTTTTTGGGCCAGAACTCAGATTCTGCTGTGAAGTATGTAGAATCTTCCAAATACAGGAGTGTAATACAAATAACTGGGTTAAAAAAAAAGCCAAAAAAAAAAAAAACCGCCATGAAAAATGTCTTTCATATCCACTCACCATGTGCCTTTCCTATTTTCTGTGATGTATAAAGGATCACCCAGAGAGATTTAATGATCTTAGCTACACATACTGTTTTTTCCTGAAAGGGTGTTTAGGACACCATATATAAGTATTGCTTAAATTATGGCTGTTAGACATTGTTTCAGATTTGTCTTACTAATCATTTATCTAGGAAATTGATTTGAAAAATCAGTCTCTTGGTTCAGAAAAAAATGAGAATTGAAGATGAGTAAGAAGAGCTTAGAAGCACTGATAAAGGACAAAAGCAGGGAGTAATGTTTTCAGAGAAGTGTAAATATACTGTAAGAACAGGTGATCATGAATAAGGGTAATATATTTTCACTTAATAAAAGAGCCAATGAATCTGTTGAAATTTAGGATAACCAGTTTGATGAATTTTCCTGGGTGGGAACACACTATTTTTGAAGAAAAGTGATCACTGATGAAGTTTCTTTCTGTTGGTTCAAGGCATTAAAAAAAAAAAAAAAAAAGATGCCTATGTGGCAGGAGCCATAGCCATCAATCATATAGACGTTGGGCACTGGAAAAAGGAATAGATGGTGACACCAGGCATGGTGTTCAGGAAGGAGTAACTGTAGTAGTTTCAGATAAGAAAATTAAAATTCATAGTAGGGACAATAAAGATCTTTGCAAAGCTTTCCTAAGTACTATTGAGTATGTTGTGTGCATTCACGACTTTTTTGTCCTTTGGCACTCTCTTCCACTTTCCTTTCACATACTCCTGAAGCAGCCCCCCAAAGATCCAGAAGTCATCTTTGGAGCTACTGCTGTTATTGCTTATCTTCACCCTTAGTAAATATTCCATTGATGCAAGCCAGAAAAAACAACTGTTGACCCTTCTTACTTGACGTTCCCATTGTGGCATTTGGTGTTTGACACAGGACTTAAACCAGAAATGTGAGATTTCATGTAAGAATCTCTCCCCTAGTCACGATCAGTACCCTGACCATATTTAGTGATTCTTTGGAAGAGGAAGATAAGGTTGTGGGGATCTGCCAAGGTGATAACAAGGGTATGAGAAACCAGAGAAAGTATGTTTTTTAAAGTATGGCTTCTAGGTGGACTTTAAAAGTATGATTTTGGTGTGCCTGGGTGGCTCAGTCTGTTAAGCGTCCGACTTCGGCTCAGGTCATGATCTCACAGCTTTGTGAGTTTGAGCCCCATGTCAGGCTCTGTGCTGACAGCTCAGAGCCTGGAGCCTACCTCAGATTCTGTGTCCCCCTCCCTCTCTGCCCCTCCTCTGCTTGTTCTCTGTCTCTGTCTCCCTCTCAAAAATAAACATTAAAAAATTAAAAAAACTAAAAGTCTGATTTTTCAGTATCCAAATTCGTTTGACTTATTTGAAACATTATAATACTACCCTGTTAGCCCAAACTCTGGTGGTTCAGTCTTGTTTTTTGCATTGAAATTGGCTTTTGTAGAATATTTAAGACTAGCTAATGCTGTTATAGAATTAGATACCAATCTAAGTATTTTACTTGTTTTAACTCATTTAATCCTCACAACAACCCTATGATTTTATGATGTAAATACCATTATTTTTCCCACTTACAAATGAGGAAACTGAGGATCACAGAAGTTAAGTGGGTTGCTTAGGGTCTCTAAACAGGTAAGGCACAGATATTTGAAACCCAAGAAGTCTAGTGCTAGAGTGCGCACCATAAGCCACAAGGGTCACCTTTCTACCAGTAAATCATTAAAACTTGAAAAGCTTGGTCTTTCTCCATCATAGAGATGAACAGATATGTTACATATAATATTTTCTATTTTAAAATAATTTGAGGAAAATGAGTTAAATTTTTTCATTGAAATAATTAGCTAATAGTTTACAGACATTAATTGTGCAACAAACATATGATATTTTATATTTAATTGAATTTAGAATTATTATTGTGGTTATTAATTTCCATGTGGTTTATGTTGATTAAAAATGTTAATATAACTGTAGAGCACATAAACAGCCATAAATGATGAAAGAAGAAGGCTTTTAACTTAATTGGAATCTATTAAAAATGAAATAAGCAGTCTCATTTGTAGAATAAGTAAAGTATGGTCACATAGAACAGTATTGCAGGGATAATTCTGCTGCTTATAAAAACAAAAAATTCTTGTTCTCATTCCTGTATGAAACTTGATTTTCATTATGAAATTTGAAAATGAAAATTTGATCTATATTATGAAGGCTATTTTTTTAAAGAATATGTGTCTAAGTACCATAATTGTATTTATATTACCTTAAATTTCGACAAGAAAATTTGCACTTTTATTAGGAGGGCATAAAGTTAGGGATAATCTTTTAAATTTCTTTTTTAAAAATGATTAAGAAAATTTTTATATCTTTCTACTTATGTCATTGTTTAGTGTGAACATCTATGCTACATAGTCTTAGATATATTCCATATAAGATATGTTTGCGCTCATCCACTGAAATCTTTTTCAGGACATTCCAGCACCTGGCAGCTATGATGTTCAAAAATCATATGAGATGTCCCAAGTTCAACATAAATACATGCCACCTCGTAGTTTTGTGGCTATGATGAAACATGCCTCCTTTCTTAGTGCAGCTCCTCGGTGCCTGGAGAAAGTGACTGATGGGCCAGGTAAGTACAGACTCTGTTTTTAAAGCTATAGGGAAAAAAATTTAAGGTTTCCATAATAAAACAGAAAATTATAAACATACCTTTATATTTACCAAACCTCTTAGAAAAAAGACTTCTGCTTTATTCAATGAAAGATTTTAGATTTTTTCCAACCATAAGATGTTTTTAGAGTTTTAAGTCTCTTAATTTTACCAAAAGAAATGTTATTGATTTGAACTTAAAACTAATAAAGTCATTTTCTTTTAGGGAAAAACCCAAAATTCTTAATATGCTAGAGTTGTTAGAGGAGAAAGGCACTTTACATTGCATAAGACACATATCATGTTAGTATCATGGAATTATTTTAATTTTTCTCAAGTATCAAGAAAACATCCATATAAAAAGATAAACATTTATTTGGGAGGGTTAAAATTCCAAAAGCAATTTTGATTTTCAAAATTGGGATTAGTTCAACTACTAATAATAGTTTTCTTAGACTAAAAATGAATGCAATAACTTTTCCTGGTAATGAAGATAAATCAGTTAAGTGTGTTATTTAACACAGGAAAACTAGAGAGAAAATAGGAACAATTGTTTCCATCAATAATTTAGAAATGTATTACCACTAAACAACCAAACTGTTGTAATGACTACTTATGAGAATTTGACGAGAAAAAAAATGAAACAGAGTGGAGAAACTCTTTCAAGGGTTTTGACGAAAAACCAAATTAGGGGCCTACAACCTGTCAGCCAATGAGAATACTTAGAGAGACTGCAATCCATAGAGGCTTGCCTTGTCTTTCACTGTTCTTTGGAGAATCAAGTATTTTGTCAATTTAAAGGTTCATTGTAAGTCAGATTTTAACTTTGTGTATTTTCTTTGTTTTTTCTCAACTTTGCCATACCATTGATGATTTTGTCAGGCTTTAGCTTTGTTATAAAGTAGAATTCGGGGCACCTGGGTTGATTAAGCGGCTGACTTTGGCTCAGGTCATGATCTCGTGGTTCATGGGTTCCAGCCCCATGTCGGGCTCTGTGCTGACAGCTCAGAGCCTGGAGCCTGCTTCAGATTCTGTGTCTCCTCCTCTCTCTGCCCCTCCCCAAATCATCCTCTGTCTCTCTGTCTCTCAAAAGTAAATAAACGTTAAAAAAATTAAAATAAAAAGTAGAATTCAGACACCATTAGTGTCCCGACCACACTCAATATGTGGTCGCCCAGAAGTGGTGCAGGGAAATTAGTTCTTTGAAGTTCTGGTCCTATCACAGTCACCGTCACCAAGCACAATCCAATAATGCATAAATATCCATTTCAGGGTTTCTTGAAGTAAATTATGTTGAACTTCATATTTTCTGAAGATTATTTTTTCTCTCAACCTTTACCATCTCTCCATAAAAGTTATTGTAGATGGGATGTATAGGTTAAGTGACAGTTAAGTGTCAGGATTAGCACTGTGATTTTTCATTTGGTATTTAGCCGAGAGCAAGTAAATTCACTAATTGTTTTATTAATTTCTATTTTACAAAATTCAGATAATATTTGCTACCTACTTGGCTCTCATGAGAATACTAAAGATTAATAAGGCAATTTCAAAGTCATTTTCAGAAGCTCTGAAGCTCCTTAGAAGTATAAAATCTTATTATAATATGAAATATGTTTCTTGTTTTCCAGCCAACACTAGCTTCCGAAAGAATTTGGGAGAGGGTAATATCTTCCTCATGAAGACAGTTATTATGTGGAAGTCAAAGACATAGTGACTGTCAAAGTCACTACACAACTGTAGAGTAGCCAGATTGCTAAGTGAAGAGAGTTTATCACAGCAGTTAAGCTAATCATCCATCAAGTTTGCCATCCTGCATCTTAAAAGTAGCCTTAAATTCAAAGAAATGATAGCAGAAATTGCATATGCCTCTATAATAAACACATTAGAGAAAATGGATTTCTGAAGCTATTACTTGATACCATGATGTATAAAATTTGATTTCCTCTGAAATGTGCACATACTGTAGTAATTAGAATTGTTTATTATTTTAAATTTAATCTATTTAAGGTATACCATCAAAAACATGTTTTTAAATTCAATAGGTGACTGGGGCCAATTCAGTTAATTCAGTTAATATCCATGCTTCATTTTGGTAATTGAAAATTAACCTCCATTTCTCCTAATTCTCTTGCATTGATCCAATCAAGGGAAAGATATTCAGGCATGATATTATCAACTCTCTAAATAGATTTCTCATTTTTTATTGACTTTTCAGTCAGGCTAGGCTAGGGTTTTTTTTTTTTTTTATGAATATGACAGAGAATTCTTGATTCTTTTTAAAATATACATAGTAATATGGTTTTCTGCTGTAAAAGGAGAATAGCCCATTCTATTTAAAATTCTTAATACCATCTAAATTTTCCTGGGAGTACCATCTAAGTAAACATATTAAGTCTTGTGATTTATATAAAAAATATTGTTATATAATAAAAATATAACAGAAAGAGAAGCCAATGGATCTATCCCATTTACAATTGTACCAAAACCCATAAAATACCTAGGAATAAATCTAACCAAAGAGGTGAAAAATCTATACATTGAAAACTATAGAAAGCATATGAAATAAATCAAAGAAGATACAAAAAAAATGGAAAAATATTCTGTGCTCCTGGATACAAAGAACAAATATTGTTAAAATGTCAATACTTCTCAAAGCAATCTACATATTCAATATAATCCCTATCAAAATTACATCAGCATTCTTCACAGAGCTAGAACAAACAATCCTAAATTTGTATGGAACCAGAAAAGACCCATAATAACCAAAGCAATCTTGAAAAGGAAAGCCAAAGCTGGAGGCATCACAATCCTGGTCTTCAAGCTCTATTAAAAAGCTGTAATCATCAAGACATTATGGTACTGACACAAAAACAGACACTCAGATCAATGGAACAGAATACAGAACCCAGAAATGGACCCACAAATGTATGGCTAACTCATCTTTGACAAAACAGGAAAGAATACCCGATGGAATAAAGACATTCTCTTCAGCAAGTGGTGCTGGGAAAACTGGACAGTGACATGCAGAAAAATGAACCTGGACCATTTTATTATACCATACACAAAATAAACTCAAAATGGATGAAGAACCTAACATTAAGACAGGAAGCCATCAAAATCCTCAAGGAGAAAGCAAGCAAAACCCTCTTTGATCTTGGCCACCGTGACTTCTTACTCAACACGTCTCCAGAGACAAGGGAAACAAAAGCAAAAATGAACTATTGGGACCTCCCCAAAGTAAAAAGCTTCTGCACAGTGATGTAAACAATCAGCAAAACCAAAAGGCAACGGACGGAATGGAAGAAGATATTTGCAACAACATAGCAGATAAAATGTTGGCATCCAAAATCAATAAAGAGCTTATGAAACTCAACACCCAAAAAACAAATAATCCAGTGATGAAATGGGCTAAAGACATGAACAGACACTCCTTCAAAGAAGACATCAAGATGGCCAACAGACACATGAAATGATGCTCAATGTTACTCATCATCAGGCAAATACAAATCAAAACCACAATGAGATACCACCTCACATCTGTCAGAATGGCTAACATTAACAACTCAGGCAACAACAGATACTGGCCAGGATGCGGAGAAAGAGGATCTCTTTTATACTGTTGATGGGAATGCAAACTGGCACAGCCAATCTGGAAAGTAGTATGGAGTTTCCTCAAAAAATTAAAAATAGAGCTACCCTATGATCCAGCAATTGCACTACTAGGTATTTATCCAAGGGATACAGGTGTTCTGTTTCAGAGGGACACATGCATGGCAATGTGTGTAGCAGCAAAATCAATAATAGCCAATGTATGGAAAGAACCCAAATGTCCATCGATGGATGAATGGATAAAGAAGATGTAGTATGTATATGCAATAGAGTATTACTCAGCAACCAAAAAGAATGAAATCTTGCCATTTGCAACAACACGGATGGAACTAGAGGGAATTATGCTAAGCGAAATTAGTCAGTCAGAGAAAAACAAATATCATATGATTTCACTCATATGAGGACTTTAAGATACAAAACTGATGAACATAAGGGAAGGGAAGCAAGAATAATATAAAACAAGGAGGGGGACAAAACGTAAGAGACTCTTAAATATGGAGGACAAACAGAGCGTTGCTGGAGGGGTTGTGGGAGGGGGGATGGGCTAAATGGGTAAGAGGCTTTAAGGAATCTACTCCTGAAATCATTGTTGCACTATATGCTAACTAACTTGGATGTAAATTAAAAACATAAATTAAAAAAAGATACAGTGATAATAGTTCTGTTGGTTATATATTTTGTGACAATTTTTATCCTATGAATAATATTTCACATATCTTAGAATTAAGAGTGAAGTGTTTTTTCAAGAAATAACAGGTGTTGGTGAAGATGTGGAGAAAGAGATCCCTTTTACGTTGTTGATGAGAAGGCAAACTGATGCAGCAATTCTGGAAGACAGCATGAAGATTCCCCCAAAAGTTAAAACACTTACCTTATGATCCAGCAATTTACCCAAAGGATATGAAAAAAAAAGGATACATGAACCCTCATGTCTATAGCAGCATTATCTGCAATAGCCAAATTATGGAAAGATCCCAAATATCCATCAACTGATGAAGGGATAAAGAAGATGTGGTATATGTATGTGTGTGTGTGTACCCACGCGCACACATGCGCACGCACACACACCCATGCGCGCACACGCACACACACACACAATGGAATATCACTCAGCCATAAAAAGAATGAAATCTTGCCATTTTCAATGACGTGGATGGAGCTAGAGAGTATTATGCTAAGTGAAATAAGTCAACTGGAAAAATATAATACCATATGATTTCACTCATTTGTGAAATTTAAGAAACAAAGCAAATAATCATAGGGGGAAAAGAGATAAACAAGAAACAGTCTCTTTTTTTAAATTTTTAAAAAAATGTTTATTTTTGAGAGCGAGAGAGCACATGAGTGGGGCAGGAGGAGAAAAAGAGGGAG